ACTATTTATTGTTACCTTGATGTTGAGGTATTGGTCAGTTATGAATTTATGGTGGATGGTTTGGTTATTGTAGTTTTTTTGTTTCACTCCCAGAATTTGGATGATGGAATATTGATTGGGGTTTAGCCCTAATTTAATATTTAATTGTTCGAATTTTGGGGCGTGACACTCAATCTGGTCTACAGCCTTATATGGCTTAGCTTCGACCCACTTAGTGAAGTAATCAGTGGCCACAAAAATGAAACTATGATGCTTCGAAGAGAGTGGGTGTATTTTCTCCATCATATCCATGGCCCATCCTCTAAATGGCCAAGGCTTCACTACTGCATGCAGGTCAGTTATGGGCACATGCCTTATTGTGTCATGCTTTTAACATGCCTGGCAACCTCTTGCATATTCTATGCAATCTTTAAGGATAGTTGGCCAATAATAGGAATGCCTTCGAAGCAACCATCTCATCTTCACACCAAACTGATGAGCACCACAGATGCCTTCATGAACCTCAGTCATAGCTGTCAATGCTTCGTTTGGGCCTAAACATTCCAGCAATAAACCATCTCCCCCACTTTTGTAGAGAGCATTACCATACTTATGTATTGCATAGACTGCAATTTAATTTTTCTACTGGGTTTCGAAGTTGGGCTAGTCAGATACTGCATTATTGGATGCCTCCAATCTTGCTCTTGTAAGTCATTATGATTGACTTTCAGGATCACATTCCTTTTATTTAAGGGTGGTATTAATTTCTGATATGTTGTTTGGCTTATGTCCCTTTGAGCATTATCCCTTCTCTTGAAATTCGAAACTTTCTGAGTCACATCATTAGCTCTATTATTCAAAATCTTGGGACATGAGTTACATTTGCTATTTGAAATTGAGAAAGCAAATGTAATGCAACAACATAGTATGGCAACATGCTTATACTTTGACATTTGAAAATCCCTTTCACTTGGTTAACCACCAATTGAGAATCTCCAAATATGTCAACTGCATGAACTTGTAATCCAATAAGAATTTCCAGTCCCATTATTAAGGCTTCATATTCAGCTTGATTATTGGAGCAAGTAATTTCATCCACTCTAAAACCATGCGTGGTTTCTATTCCTTGTGGTGACTTAATTACCACATCAATTCCAATTAGACAATTGGCTTTTGATCCATAGAACCACATTTGCCATGGTTCAACACTAGTCATACCAAGTTTCATTATCTCTTGGCTTTCTGCTTGAGATGGATGGTCTGCCAAGAAATTAGCTAAAACTTTCATTTTACTGCCTTTTGGGGAACATATTCTAAATGAAATTCTGATAAGGCTAGTATCCATTTGCCAATTCTTCCCCTCAACATAGGTCTAGATAACATATACTTAACCAAATCTGTGGTTGCAATTACCAAGACGGTTGTAGGCAAAAGATAATATCTTAATTTCATTGCAGCAAAATACAATGCAAGGCACAGTTTTTCAAAGCTGAGTATTTTACATTCACAAGAATTTAGAAACCTACTAAGGTAATAAACAGCTGGCTCCTTGCCTTCTTCATTGTCTTGGGCTAAGAAAGCTCCCAATGAATCTTCTGCTGCAGTTATGTACAACTTCAAGGGCTTATCACCCTTTGATGGCATCAGCACTGGAGGGTTGGCCAAGTAGGCTTTGATTCCTTCAAAAGCAATTTGATGCTCTGCTGTCCACACAAATCTCTCTTCATCCTTTAGCCTTAGCAAGGAAGAAAATACTTTAGTTTTCCCTGCAGTATTAGAAATGAATCTTCAAAGAAAATTAACCTGTCCAAGGAACTTTTGTAATTCTTTCTTACTTGATGGAGGTCTGGCTTCAATGATGGTTTTGGCTTTATTCAGGTCAATCTGTATTCCTTTCTTATGTACTACATAGCCCAAGAAGTTTCCAGATGATACGCCAAAAGTACACTTAAGAGGATTGAGTTTCAACTTGAACTTTCTCATTCTTTCAAAAGCTGCTTCTAAGTGAAATAGATGCTCCTCCATGGATTGGGATTTTACTACAACGTCATCAATATAACACTCTAAATACCCTCCAATGAGGTCATGAAAGATAGTGTTCATAGCCCTCTGATATGTAGCCCTAGCATTCTTCAGGCCAAATGGCATTTTAACCCATTCGAAGGTGCCAATATTCCCAGGACATCTGAATGCTGTCTTGTGGACATCCTCCTCTGCAATACAGATTTGGTTATAACCAGAGTGCCCATCCATCATTGATAAAATTTGATGCCCTACTGAACTGTCTACCAATAAATCTACTATAGGCATAGGATACTCATCTTTTGGAGTTGTTAGATTTAAGTTTCTAAAATCAATGCATACCCTCATTTTACCATTCTTCTTAACTACAGGCACAATATTGGATAACCATTCGACATACCTGGCTGCCCTAATAAAGCCTGCCTTGAGTAGTCTAAGAATTTCCTACTTAACTTTCTGAATCACTTCTGGACTCATTCTTCTTGGTTTTTGCTTGTATGGCTTAAAATTAGGCCTCATAGGGAGCCTATGTTCTACTAATGACCTATCCAATCCTGGTAGTTCATTAGAAGACCATGCAAAACAATCTTTATATTTCTTCAGAACAACCAACAACTGGTCCCTGTCAAGAACATTCAACCAAGCACTTATATAGGTGGATTGTCGTATAGAACCTTCCCCTAAATTTACTTCTTCCAAGAGGTCTTGTATCTGAGAACTTACTGAAGCTCCTTCTTTGATTCCTTTTGCCTTCGAAGTAATCTCTTTACTTTGTTCTGCTCCCAGGTTCTTTGATTCAACATCTTTACCCTTCTCATCATAGACAAAGTCTGTCCATAAGGCTTCTTCTTCCTGTATCTCCTGGATTTTTGTTTCAATGTCCAATGCACAGAATTTATCAAGGGCCAAAACTCTGACCTATTGCTACTCCTACTTGCAGCTAATTATCATGGCTTCTTTCTCTTGCTCTTGCACTTTTTGGACTATTGATTTTACATCCAACATTGAGAACTTAATTAGAGCCAAAGACTTGGCTTCTTGGGCTTCATTTCCTTGCCTACAACCAGGCATCATTGCCATCCTTAACGACAACCTCTTCATCAGCACTCTCCTGGACTAAGTGCTTCAGGTGTGTCTTCCTCATCAGCCGTCACTTCGGCTGAGCCATCAGGTTTTCTCAGTATACTGAGTGGTGTCACTTCCTCAATATACAACTTGGCCTCCGCGAAGTCTGCACAGGCTATGAAGGGTTGAGGATCTGCATCAATTTCCTCTGTCTCTCCATTGCCTAAGGCCATCATTATTTTCTGATGCAAAGAGGAAGGCACACACTTGTTAGTGTGAATCCAATCTCTACCAAGAAAAACATTGTACTTAGCATTACTGTCGATAACGAAGAATGCCGTCATGCAGTCCCTGGTTCCCACACTCTGGTTGATGGGCAGAATTCCCTGAGTCATCTGTTTGTCTCCAGCAAAGCCAACAATGGTTATGCTGGTTGGGATTAACCTGGGGTTCCTTTTCCCTAGTTTCTTCAAGGAAGATTTCGGTAGTAAGTTCACTGCTGCCCCATTATCCACCAAGACTCGGTTCAATTGTATCTCATTGAAGAAGGCCTTGATATACAAAGGCTTGACATGTTGTGTCATAGAGTTCGAGGGATACTCAAAAGGATATGAGAGGTTAATACCCACCTCTTCTTGACTCTCGTATTCAGTTTCCATTGAGGTAGCCATTCCGGATTCATCTTGTACCATACTCACTTGTGAGTCTTCACTAAAGACTGGAATTTGGTCAATTTCTTGACCCTCTTGGTTCTCATCTCCAGCTTGGAATTCATGCGGTAATATGTGTACCATATTCACTGATATTGGAGGAAACGAGCCAAATTGGATGGCTGGCTGTGCCTGTTTCTCCTCTTGGCCACCTTGTTCAGTTACTTCAGAAGCATTTTCCATGCTGCATTCTAGCACTTCATTACTAGCAAACTCCTTCAAATGGTCTTTTTTGACTAGTTTTCAACCAAAAACGTCTGTTCAGCCATGAAGGCTTCGAACATTTCTTCCTCAACCATTTCTTTCTTTTGGCCTAGGCCAACTTCTTCTTCTGTCTCGTTATCACTCTCCATCAAAGCCTTCTCCAATCTTGCTAGACTGGACTTCTCTCTGGCTTTTAGTTCAGAATGAACTTTGGCCAATTGTTCACTGCTACAACCCATTTTGTCTTGTAGAGTTGGTTTTAGAGTATGGTCTGACTTTGGATTCTTCTTTCCTTCTGTCTGGACCAATGAAGAGCTATCTTCACTTTCTTTCAGGTCTTTCTGGTACTGAGTGTACCTACGCTGAATCTTCCTCCTCTGTGATCTACAAATTATGGGGACCATATCTGGTTCCTTTGTTTTTGGGTGTTTAAACAATACACAATTGTTTAAAGCCACCAAAGGAGGTTTGACCATCCTACCTTGGTTTCCAACAACATCTCTTTGGGTAGACACTTCCCTAGATTTGTTCTGCATCACAAACCAGTCTGGAACTCCAAGTACCCACGAACTTACTGACTCAGCTGTTGAACTGTTGCTTTCCTCCTTCGAAGCCATCTTCGAAGCTAACTGTGAAGGCCACTGCTTGGCCCTAACTTCATGTTTTGGGCCTAACTCAGGCCTCTGATAAAGGTAGCCACTTTCTGTCCTGCGTGAGGCTGGTTTAGAGGACCAATTTCTGGCTTTGATCCCATATCCTGAGCTTATTTCAGTCATTCTTTCAGGATGATTGCCCTCCACTCTGTAATAGTTAGCAGGTCTGGACTCATATAGAGGCCTCTTACCCTTGAATTACACTCTAGTAGCTGCTGATTCAGCCATGAATGGCTGCTGCCTAGGAGCAGTTGAATATGGCCTTTTGTTATAAGCACTGGTTGGTTTAGGACGTCTCTGCACATCCCTGTAGTATTGCTTCTCGTCAATCGGGAGCCCTTTCAGCCACTTATAGCTCAACCTACACCTGTGACACATTCTTTGGATAACTGCTGCCTCTAAGGAATCATCATCCAGTGCTTCTTCATCAAAGTCTTTTCCCTGACTTGTAGAGCCTTGTCCAACAATTGACAGACATCTAGTGTCTTTCTTAATAGTAGCCGGGCTGGCAATATGCATTTGCACATTGACCTCTTCCAATTCCTGCAAAGATAAATTCTGGAAGTCTGGTACAACAACATTAGCTGCACTTTCTCCAACTTCTGGAAATGGATTACTGTCAATCCCCATAGCCTTTTCTGCTTTAGCTGGGAATTTTAGACTTCCTTTCCGAATTTGTTCTTGGATCCTGTCTAGAAAAACAATACAGTTTTTAGTCGAGTGAGACCAAGAATTATGCCATTTACAATACACTTTTCCTTTAAGTTCATCTGGAGATAGAATTTTGACTTTTTTTGGTAACTTAAGGAAGTTGGCCGCAAGCAAATGATCAAAAATGTCATCTGCCTTCGTTAAATCAAAAGAATATTTCCTATGAAGGTCTTTCTTTTTAAACTGCTGGTCAATTGTTGTGTCCTCATGAATTAATACCTCACAGATCACAAGTTCTTTCCCCACAATCTTTGCTGCATCAATCTCATAATTAGGATCTCTATAATATGTCTTGTATGACGCATTATTCCGATCTTGTTCCTCCGCTAGTAATGCTTCATACCTAGACACCTTATAAGTTAGTTCTACCAAGTCTCTGAACTCAATTGAGTCAAACTTCTTTCGAAGCCTAAACTCTAAGCCATTTTGAGCTAATCTCACAAATTCTGGCTCTAGTAGGATGACCCTACATTTGTTTCGTGCTCTTTTAAATCTGGCAATAAACTGAGTAGCCTTCTCATCAGGCCTTTGACTCAATTTTGCCAAGTCTGCCATGGAAACCTCTGGCTCTGATTGGAAGAATTGGGCATGAAATGCCTCTTCCATTTGTTGCCACGTTTGGATAGAGCCAGATGTAAGGTTAATATACCAAACAAATGATCCCCCAGTTAGAGAATTTGGGAATAATCTTAACTTCATATAGTCATTATTAGTAAATTCACCGCATTGAGCAACAAACCTAGCAATATGCTTCACTATTGATTGGTTTTCATTCCCATAAAAAAGGGCAAAATCTAATATCCTGAAACCTCTTGGGTATTCATGTACCCTATCTACCCATTCTGGGTACAGTTTCCTGTACACAGGAGTCTGGACCCCCCGAGCCATCGGTCCACACATCTCTCTAACAATATCAGCAATTTGGTCTCTAGGGACCATATTTTGTACCTGTTGAACCATTACTAGAGGAACTGTGACAACCCTCACATCTGATTGGACAACCTTATGCCTGGGGTCCTTTTGGTCCATAAGGTGGTATATTTGGGACTGGTTGTCCCTGTGGTGCCGGTTGCTGCTGGGGGTGTGGGTAACTCCCTTGAGCCTGTCCTGCGAAAGGTGCTGGAACTGGTGTTGTGTTTCTTCCATTTGTAGGAAAACCTTCCAACCCCCTAGGTGTAAATTCGAATAAGGGATTAGTGAACCCTCTCGTGCCAGGTATGGCTTCGAACATGGGATTTGGAACCATTCTTATGCCATTTTCTTGTCCTAGGCCAGATCCACCAATTTGCATGGCTTCACTGTTAAGTACTGAGGCATTTTGACCTACTATAGGCCTCGAAATAGGTTCATACCAAGACTGAGGTGATGGTCTTTCATAGTTTTGATTACTAGTTGACCATTAGAATGTCCATTAATTTGCATAGGCTATTTATCTCTAGCCAATTTTCGCTGAGGGACATTTAAAATTTCTTCCATGTGTCTTGTGTTTGTTGGTTGGTGGGTATTCATTCGATCCAAAAAGGATGTTGCCTATCTTTCTATTGTATTCATTAACTGTTGTCCTATAACATCTACTAGGCCACCCCATGGATTTATTGGCTGAGTAGATGGAACAGTGGATGGTCCAATTCCTTGGCCTCGTCCAATATTATGAACATGTGGTACTTGTTCTAAAGTGCTGGTCTGTTCGACCATAGGTTCTGATAAACTGGGTATTTCCACAGGATGTGTTATCACATTATCCTCTGGATTGGGCACTTCTACCTCTTTTTCCACGCCTTCTTCCAAGTGTTCATTTTCTCCTTGTCTCCTACGTTTAGCCATTTCAATTAGTCCCACTGGGCGTGCTAAAAATATATGTTGGCTTTTTGGCTTTCGAAGGTTATTATTGTAATTATGAGCGTGCCAGCAAGGATCAATCAGTCCTTACAGAAATTCAATTGCCAACCAATTATCAGACGATTGTGTTTTAGTTCTTTCACCCTCAATAAATAAAACTTTTACTGGTGGCTTTGTTAGGAGAATTAAACGAACAATAGGTAAATAAAGAACAATTGAAGCATTTCATTAAGCAAAATGAAAGACTTACAAAGATCTGAATCAACCTCGTAGAGGTTGACAGCAACAATCTACTTGAAATCTACTCCTATGAACGAAATGCAGTGCAGAAATGTAAAGAATAGAAAATGTAAAAACTGAAAATGTATAACTGGAAAGGAAATAAAGTAGAATAAGACTTGTTTTTTGAATCTGAGTCTGGACTTTTTTCTGGAGCCTTCTCTGCTATTTATTCTTCTTAATGATGACCATCGAACTGCATTTCCAACCGTCGAACTGCTCCTCCATGATCGCTGATCATGTTGCCTTGTAATTAGCTCCAGTATGCCATCACTTGCAGTTAGGCTTCCCTCCTAATTTTGAATTTGAATGTGAGTAACCGTTGAAGCCACATCACTTTGCATCTCTTTGCTGATCCAATACTACTCAGATCTCGTAATAACCAATACTAACTGCCACGTGTACGATTATGATCGAAGACTTGAATAGTCTTCCTGTATTATCCTTATTCTGCCACGCGTCGAATTGCAATTGGCTTATACAAAATATGTAGCCAACAGAGACTAATTATATTGTCATTAAAAGGTCATCATGAAAAAGAAAATGACCTTTTAACAACAATGTTTTAAAAACGTCACTAATACAAAACAATTTTGTGCCTAAAAGATTTGCTTTCTGAGACAGAAGATTTTGGTCTAAAAAGAAAGTAACTAATAAATAATTTTTCTAGTTGACCTAACTATTAAATCAGTGACCCTTGATCTGGTTCTTTTTTCAGTTTGATTAATGGTTTGATTTTTAGACATTTATTATGTCATCAAGTTGTTAAATATCCCACCACAATTTTTGATATCAATAATGATAGAGAGCTGTAATTTTTAAGCTCTGATGATGTGGTAACGATTAAACAAAAAAAAAAACTCACACACATCACATCACATATATGCCCCACACCCATTTGGGTTAATGTGTAGTGGAGTTCTGAATCCACTGAGAATTCAATGCATTTCTAATTGGACAGGACTAAGATTTTTTATATGAAAAATGTTATGAATTCGAGACAAATTTTTGAAATTTTTACCAAACCTCTCACGTGTGAGACCCACACAAATCACATGTTTGTAGATCCCATGCTCATGTAAGAAGTTTGATTAAAAATTTAGTAATTTATTTAGAACTCGCTTTAAATTTGCCTATATAATTGTAGAGATGTTGGAGATACAGTAAACTACTGGAAGTACTAGGTGTGAGTTGTGAAGCGAGTTTGTTTCAAGGCTCAGTTAATCTTGATGGAGGAAACGAAAATCATTTCAAACGAGGATATTGGTGTCCAGTATTTTTTTTTTTTTTTTTGATCTCATGTTCGTATTTTCTCATGCGACGACGTAACAGATTTCTATTAAACCACATAAACTTCTTGTATAATTTCTTTCTTTAATGTGCGTGAAGTGTGCTTCTGTTCCTGTTAGAGATATATGCTTATAAAACTCCGATGTTTGTATTTCTTTCTTTGGTGACTGACGTTGATCACTTTTGCATATATCTTAAACATCATGACAGCCAACTGTTAGCACAAATTTTCCACATAAAAAAATAATAATAATAATAATAATTCCTTTAGCTCTGGTGAGCATGATTTTGTAGTTCTTCTAACCATCGTTCAATGTCGTAGCCTTAGCTTGTCAACGATTCTTGCAAAGATACAGCTAGGGCTACCTGGCTATATTCATTTCTAACCAACTTGCTGCAACTAACAGCATTGCCTTGGAAGCTTTCCCGCCTCAAATATATTGTGAAAAAGATAGAAGAACGCAAGACAACTATAGAACGCAGATGAACGTGAAAATTGTTTGGATTCATTGAAAAGGTCCGGTATGTGTACCAACTACACTACCTCTCATTGAAAGTCAATTTATTGATGAAGCATAGAGCTTAAGTGCGAAGAAGAGTAACACCAATTAGAAACTTGAAGCAAGAACCGTAACCATCACAAGTAGCAGTAGCTTCAAGAAAAATAACGTTAACTTCAAAGTTCACCCGTTACCAAAATATGAGAGGATTATTGAGGGGCCCCGACCTTACCCGCTGCTTCCTCAATTTTCAAAAACTTTTCAGATAAACAAAATCTTGCATGTAGAGTGCCAGCGAATTAAATCTCCCTTATGCTGACAGAAAGCTTACAAATATCAATCTCACCAAAACACTTTTGCCAAGTGGTTGTTCTCATGGATAGTAACCGGTGAATGTAAATCCCCTTCCCACAATCTCACCAGCACAAAACCATGCAAAGCACTCCAGCCCAAACAGAGCGGCAATGCCAGCATCCTCAACCTTCAGCTCCTGCCTGTTCTTCCACATATGCTTGACATAATCAAGTTCCCTCCAGAATGATTCATAACGACCGGGAATACTGCAGGGAGTAATCAAGTCAGATAAATAACAAGGAAAAACCACATGTATATATATATACACAAATATATATCTATGGTGTGTGTTCTTTCAGTGGTTCATCAAGTACGAATAGTACCAGTGGGTAAGATGACAGAAATTTTTGTACAAGACATTCTGCTCACTAGTGCTGCAAACACAGCCTCAAAGAATTGAATAAAAATGATATATCATATACTTTATCAAGCCTACCCAACAATCAATTTTCATGAAATGCAGCCAAAAATATTTCTCGTCTTCTCGTATTTCTATTTCTATTTCAATTTCTTTTATTTTGAAAGCTTCCTTTGTTTTTCAATTTATTCTTCCTTTTAGATTTTGTATTGTATAATTCGTATACAGAACTATTTTATCACATGCCAGCTTCTAACTAGGTCATCATATCGAACTCACAAATCTTTGCCCAACATTATTTTGGTAAACCAGAATACAGCTACCCATTCCCTTTCTGCATAAAAAACATTTCACATGTCTTAAAGAAAATTCTCAACCTGAAGCAGAGCATCCCGCCCTCAAGCAGAGCCATTCATTCACATACATTAAGAAGGCCAATCCCTAGAACTACTACCCTATAATGGAGGCTGCTAGAGGTGTAGACTAGGTGCAGCCATGCAGCCCTTAATTTTGACATCATTCACACAAAGTGGCTGCCCTTAGTCTCGTGGACTCAATGATTCCAACAGAAACATTACAAGTTGCATTTTAACAATTTCATCAAGATGTTCATGCTCATCATTTCACTCAAACCTGTTTGTTCTCTGTTCTCTTCTTTTCCTCTCTCTTTTGTAGGTAAAATGTTGGGTTCCCCACTCATGCATTTGTTATATTTCTCATCAAAATTCAAAATAGGTTCTTACTATGGTTCTTTTTCCTATCCTCGTAAATTTAAGCAAGTCCCCAACTTGGTCACGTTCTTTGCTTACAAGAGAGAAGCTTCTTGATCGCATAAAAGAAATAATAGGTAAAAGTTATTTCTTAATATATGTAGAAGACTACGAGTTAAATGCCAATAAAGTAAACTCCAATGGCTTAGCACTCATCAAGATCATGCTTGCCCAATCATAACCATCCACTCTAAAGACTATAAGAACTGATTGCTTTAGACTCTCAGCCAAAGGAACAATCAAAAGTTTGTGGTGCAATTATCTATTCACCAAGGCCCAGCAAAACATCTTCACTGATTAATGACCAAAATGTACTAGGTGATAACATGAGAACACCCCCATAACAATAATAAGTGAAGCTTAAGCCAAACATCTCCACTGATTGATGCCAAAAGTGTACTGAGTGATAATCTGAGGGGAAAATTATTAGACAGTCCAGGAGTACCATGTGGTGTTGCCTACGTGGTACTCCCAGCCAATGGGAAACCGCAACCCACATTAAGTGGGTCAACCCTTGTCTCCTAACTACCTAACAAAGGTGAGTCATCATGCCCACCCATAAGTTCTTCCACTGTGCCATTGGTTTGGACCAGCACACAGGCAATGCCACATGGTGCTCTAGGACCACCCACTAATTACTCAATCTGAGGAGACCCCCATAACAATAACAAGTGAAGCTTAAAATGATCTGCAGATTGACATATCAGCTTAAATGGGCAGTCCTATAATAAAATAAGACATCGAGTTTTGAGTAGATCACGTAAAAGATTCTAGGATCAACCCAAGGTATTGATTCATACTAATTCACATACAATATGAAGATTGACAAATCAACTTCTTCTATAGCTCATGCCAACCTTAGCAAAATCCACATATCCTGGAAGAGGCAGGTGATGGTAATCTATATTATCCTAGGATTTAAGCTAGGGTATTGATTCATACTAATTCATATACAATATGAAGAAGCCCAGTCCAACACAATATTTGCACTTCTTTGTGGGCTTAAATACAGCCAGACCTCCTAACTAATCCATTAATCAAATTGCTATTTCCAAAATTCATAAGTGCAAGGGACTTGAACCTCTAGAATTTGATTTTGAAAAAAACAACTTAATATCAACAACAACTATTATGTGTTTTAAGAAAACATGACTATGAACCCAGTGGGTTGGCTTGATGGTTAGTCACTTAGCCCTGGATGCCTATTAAAACATCAAGTCTAAGGACATCAAGTCTAAGGTTCAACTCCCATTGAGTGCTATCAATTCCTTTGGGGCCACGCCTGTGGGCATAGCCCGAGATTTGCCCAACCTGCGTGGAAGGGGCGCTTTACATCGGTCTCGGGATTAGTAGGGGTTTACCAGATACTCAATTATCAGAAAAGATAACATGACTATTTTTACCATCAAGAACTTGAACCTCTGGAATTTGATTTTTGAAAAATGCAACTTAATATCAACAACTATGTATAGCAAAATAGCATGACTATCCAGCAAGCTATATGGCAATGGCACCAAACATAATTGTTACAGATGAATGAAGAGTCATTTTAAGTCCAAGAGACAAGTCAATGAAAAGTTATATTATATGCTAAAGTGCCAAACATATCAGCAGCAATCATGTGAAAAAACATGAACTTTCTAATAACTACCAAGAGTCCAAGACAAATAAGTTGTTCTATGTTGTACCTCAAATCAACTCAATAATTTGTCAACAGGCTCAAACACACGCTTGAGGTTTTTGCTCTTTCCATATTTAAATGGTAACATTGTGGAATGATCTACTTAATGGTCATTGGTTCAATGTTAAAACATGGCCTACTAACCTTGAGGTTGTAGGTTCAAACCTATGATCAGCCACTATGTGCAAATTATGCCAAAAATTAGGTCTGTACCAAATACATCCCCTCCCGAACCCTTATCAAAATGGAGAATAAAGTGGGTGTAATTTAGTTTTTTACCAACAAATTACCAAAATGGAGGCAATCAATAAAACAAAATTTCAAGGTTTCATGAATTAACAAACTTATTCTAGCCATATTGCCAATTCCCTCGTGACACTGCTTTCACCTTAAAATCCTTTGACAACCAAGTGAATCCTTTAAAAACTAGATAAACAATGCTTGTAAAATAACAAAAGTTTACATATCCATGGGCATATATATATATGACAAAACCAAACTAGAAATAGAAGTATTGTGATTGAGTGCTCCACAAAAGAATTATATGTAGAAATTATATTATTATCAAGAAGCTAGGGATTAAATTGTTATGGTTAAAAGCAAAGGCATACCAATAGACATAACCCAAACCTATTTGATAAGTCAGGTACCTAAACATAGCATATCAAAAGAATTAAGCATTCAAATACAAAGACATCATAACTTGTCTTACAAATTACATTTTTTTATAAAAATAATAAAAACAAAAATTACAAAACAGGCGTAACAAATCTGATTGAACTAGCTGAGTAGACCATAAACTCAATTGCCAAGTTGATAAAGGTATAGGGAGAATAACCTAGCAAGTCGAGTGTAGAACAATTGCTTGGACAACACGTTGCATTTCTCCAATGTGGGTGGCTCCTGAATGTACTGCTTGTTCTGCTCCAACAACTGCTTGTAGTATGAAGTTCCATGCTTCGACACAAGTTGTGAAACTTGACATGCCTTGGATTGCAATTGTTGCAATTTTGACGCCATCAGTGCCCCAATTTACAACTACACATGGAAATTAACACATCAAATAATTAATGCAAATAGTTCCAATAACGGGGAAAATGAGTTCAGAACTTCAGATCTTCTGAATCCAGGCCTACATAAAGAATCTAATGTGAACAAAATAACAGTGACGCCCATTCCAGGAATCCTTTACTTTGTGTATAGAATTTATGAATTTTATATAAACTAATTATACTTGCCCCTAAGATTTATAAAGTTTAGAAAGACAAATTTATGAAGTTTATATGGAATTCATTAAGTATATATAAACCAATTAGGGTAAATTACACTTACCTCCCCTGAGATTTGAGAAAAATACAATTAACCCTATAAGTATGCCATTATTAGACTGACCTCCCTTTTAGTAAAATTAAAGCAATCAAAACTAATGCAAAATGATGAGCAGTCACAAAATTAAACATAGTTAAAAATACATTTTAGTAGAAAAAAGATGACAACATCATCTTTTTATCCATACAACACACCAATTGCCAATGAAAAAGGACTTAAGTGTTAAGTGAATTAAAATCTCAGGTCAGTTAGGGTAATTATGTGAATCCTAATTATATTTTTTTTAAACCTCAGGAAAGGTAAGTGTAATTTATCCTAATCATTATTTAATTGTTGAAACTTGTCATAGCCTGACCACTTGACTTGGAATTTCCAATACCTTACTTTTGGCCACACTAATAATAACCCCGTTGACGTGTGATCCATATGCCCACGCCCATGCCCATGCCCACGCCCACGCATTTCATCGAACCCAATCAAGGGTTACCTCACACACTAGATTAGATATCAATTTGAAACTAATTTCCTTGATTTTAGAGAGAGAGAGACTGAATATTCTCCTTGAAATGAAGAAAAGCAGTTATAAAATATAAATTAAAAATGAAAACTAAACTAAACATGATACAAATAGCACTACATTTTCATCAATTGAGTGTTATAGAATTTCATACAGATATAGGCTTAAATTAATTGTAAAGGTCCTCCAGCTATTTTGGCTAAGAATCTAATATGCGTGTTCCAGACTATCAAAACCAATCATTATAAACAGAAAAATTACAAGTATCAACAAACCAAACCCTAACTACTACTACTACTACTAGAGCAAATCCACAAAAAGTAAACACAAACCAAGGTCTAAATTCAGAGAGAGAGAGCGAGGGAAAACATAGATCGGTTAGACCGGAACACGAGATCTGAGAAAAATTGATTGGGAAACCCTAATCGACATATACAAGTGTGCCAAAATAGAGCAAATCAGATTGAGTTTTAGAATCCCAATTTTACCTTTGTACGCTTTGCCAAAGAAAGTTGTTAGCTTGACCAATCAAGGAAGAAGAAGACGATGAGAGCGTCTCTTTGTCTTCGCTTCTCTCTTCTCTTGCCGCCTTCCTTTCCTTTTGTTTGTCACTGCCAGCTCTGATCCGAGATTGAGAAGGTCGAGAGAGAGTTGTCTGGTTTTTTTCAGTGGTTTTACCATCGTATCGTACTAGCGGTTGCCATGCGGCTGCAATTTAAATAAATAAAAATAAAATAAAACATTTATCATATATTATGCGCTAATTAAGTGGTAAAAATTTTATTTATTTGACATAAGTCTAAGGTTTAAATCTCCTCTTCTCATCTATTTAATTTTTTTTATTTCAAATAAAAAAATAGATACCTAACAACATAAGAAACAAAGATTTCAAGACACCATAAGAGATGTTCACTTTATAATAGTATAGATAGATAGATAGATTCCACTCCCACATTTCTTGTTTCCTTATTATTTATTTTTTATTTTAGTAAATTACAGTGAATTCTTTAAATAGGATTTATTAACACTTTCAAAACTTTAATTCTTTTGAATATTGTTTTATTATTATACGTAATTTTTTTTTTTTAAAGATTATGTTAGAAATTTATAAAAAAAAATTAAAAAATTATAGTATAATTTTTTATTTATAATATTGTATAAAACAAAGACTTGAGTTTATGCTCACTCAAAATGTTACAAATTGTGCCATTTTGGGAACATGGTCCAAAAACGTGGCTGCCAAAATCGCCAGAAAAGTCATTTGGCAAGTGTCAAAAATGCAGCCGTAAAATTACAAATTAGGGCCTATGAAAAAAAAATAAAAAAATAAATCTCTTATGTTGGGTAAGAGTATTTTGGTCATTTTAATTTGATTTGACACCATAAATAAATATTAAATTAAAAAGTAAAAAGTTAGTTTTTTGCCAACTTTCCAAATCACTTCCAGAAAAGCCAAAAAACTTAATAAAAAGCTAAAAGTCAACTTTTTACCAACTTCCCAAAACAACTCTTTTTGAAAAAATCATTTTGTAACAAGGGCAATTGGAATTGTAGAATTCCAGCATTCTCATATATCTAATTAATGATGAGATAAACTAATCAAATAACTTAAGTTCGATTCGCGTTCAACTCGTTAAAATTTCATTTGAATTCAATTCGTTAAGTAAACAAATCAATCTCAAATACTTATTAAAACTCGTTAAAGTTTTCAAATTAAGTTTGATCAATCAATTGAACGTTTAACTCAATTTGATAAGTTTAAAATTAAATAAAAATATCAAATTACTAAACCTCGGCTAGAAAATTTAACAAACTAAAATTAAGAAATTTAATTTAGTTTTGAAAACTAGATGCGGCACGTTCATTTAGTTAACAATTCTATGAGTGTTTTTTTTTTTTTTTTTTTTTGTTTTTTTTTTTTTTTTTTTTTGGCTTGGTTCTATGAGCCATGTTAAAAATCAAAATTTTGTCATTACAATTTCAAACAAGAAGCTTTGGATTTTATATGATAGAATATAATACATATGATTTCTCTCCACAGAACTGAATTTTGGACTTTTTAATTATGATTGTTTTTCATGTCTTCAAAATATTTCATCAAATTGGAGCTAAAAGTTCAAAAGTCACCAAGTACAAACTTAAGAAAAATATATTAAATCTCTCTCCATAAAAATTTAGGTCAATACTTACCCCTACATAAAATCATTATGCTAACCCTGTGATAATTTTTTTTGAACATCATGCAAAGTCAAATGTAATTTACACTATAATATTCAGTTCACTTTGAAAAAAAATGTCATACCCAACTATCCTGCAAGTTTGGGAATGTCCAGATCCTGGTAGTAGGCCGCAAAGAAAGAAAGAAAAAAGAAAAAGCCCTAATTTCAAAAGCCAACTAAACTATGGAAGATAGCAAGAAAAAAAAATGTCGAGTTCCATGGACCTGAAAAACAGAGGTGAAGAAAATAAATAGACAGCATGCTTAACAGAAAATTCTGAATTGAATTTTTAAATATTTTCTAGCCTCACTTTCAGCATTTTAATAAAAATAGTTTAACGTAAAAGCAATGTTACATTTTAAAGAACAACCTGCATTCTATAAAACCAAAAAATAAATCAGAAGATATCTGCTTCTTTCAAAATGGCAGGCTACTTGAATAGATTTTCTGATTTCAGGGATACCATTAACCACATTAGCGCATCCTATAATGTTGAGTTCTTGAGACCAAGCAACGCCGGCCATTCAATGAATATTTGATCATTATATCAACATCCCGAGGATTCTTCTTGTTTTGTGCCACAGTCATGTTGCCAACTAAAGCCTCCCCTTCACATATGGTAAGCACATCTTCCAGGTATAAGACCGTTTGCTTCCAATGTGTAGTCCGTGATCTTGGCCCTGCATATATATTTATAAGTAATAATCTCAGAAACATAAATATATATATATATATATATGTCTGCATGCACAAGACATAGGACCGATTGAGAAGCCAACACACTTATGTAATTATTGATTTAGCAGCAAATTTAACAACAGTTTTCCTATTCTAACTTTATGATTCTCTTGATATGAGTTGACTCAACCACCAGTTCAACTATGATGAATCCACCTACTGATGAGCAGTTTTAGGGTTCTATTTATTTTATTTTATTTTATTAGCACTGCACTGGACCATATTCTTTATAACAAACAATTCATGAATTCTAAACAAGTGAACACAAATTGGATTTAAGGCATCTGCTCCAAGGTTTTTAAATGGACAACCCTTTCAAACTCAAAACAATCAAAATCAGCATGTAATAAAATTATCAAAACACACCTTCATAGCAGACACTGACAATAAAGTAATTTAGAGAAAAATAATAATAATAAAATAACAAAGAAATGAACCTGTTGAGAAGCCTGTCAGTTTGTGACACTTAGTAAAAGAGACATCAAAATATGCCACAAGAGCATGGATGTAATCATCACGTTCTGCCACGAGCTTAAAAGGAGCTGTGAAGGAAGCATCCCCTGGGGCCATCTTAGAGATGTCCATAGTCTGTATTAAAGTAAAGCACAGCAACAGATTCGTCAGACCAAGCAGACCAAAAGACAAATAATTAAAATTACTATTGAAATTAATCCTACAGGGATACATTTTTCTTACCTTCAGTAACTGACAGTTTGTAACGATCTGCTTCTGATCAACCGTGTCAACAAGAGGTTCCATGATAGATTGCTTCTTGATACAGCTCATATTGAAGCCATACACATTGTTCCAAACTGTAATGCCATAAAATGCCAAAAACAAAATTGTAAAAAATCTATAAAGAAGTTCATAGAAACAACACTGTACACAACCACTTGATAAGAAGAGCATATCTGAAGTCCCATTTACAGTAACATCCTATGCCAATCAAGGAGATCACATACACCCATGCATGATTATGAAATATACAAAGGAAAATAATATACATTAGTTACAGGATATGCAGGAAGTCAATAAGCTCACATTCAATCTTGTCTTCTTTGTAGTCAGCATCCTCAATGGCTGTCAGATAGAGAGAAGCTTTGTCTGGAAGAACAACTCCATTGTTAACCTGAAAACAAGCAAGGAGTGAAAGTTGAGAGAATATCTAAATGAATTAAAATACGGCACTATAACAACAACAAATACTTTTTCTTTTTGCAGGTTGAATGTTCATAAAAAAATTACATGCAAACAACAAATTGCAACATAACCCAAAACTACATCACGGAAGTGTGCAAATGATCAAAGTAACACCCTTTGCAAATTCATTTAAAAAAAAGTGGTACCCAGTGCAAACGCTCCCGTTTACAACAAGATCTAAAATATTTATGTAGGCAGCCTATTCCCCACCTTTTTGTGAAGAGGCTGATTCCATCTGGAACCCACGCCACACTACTGGGAGTGAATAACACTAGCCATTGCACCAAGTCACAACCTCTAATCTATGCAAATTGATCTAATCCCTAAATCAAAAGCCACAAAAAAATTGTGGTTTAGAGTCATCTGATTTTTCTGCTTTCATACACTAGGGTAATGGAACGTACATAGCATAGAACATCAAAAATGGATCTTAAACAGGACAACCGATATTTTTTAGGTTCTAGATTTGGATGACAAGGAAAATATAAAAAATAGAAGAAGAACGCAGAAAAGAAAGAGATAGAAGTTTAGAGGCATAACCAAACGAAATCAAAGAGGAAGAGAAAAAATGCCATGCTCAACAATGGTTCATCCAAAAACCACACTCCAATCAAACCAATTCCATTGTTCCACAGTCGGTCATTAACCAAGACAAAACTGACATTGAACTCTACTACTATCGGCCAAAACAATAGAGGACCAGCGTAAATCTCATTTCACATCCAAGATCGCTTGTAAAGATGCTAGAAAACCCTAAAGAAGAACAAAAAACGTAAAAAAAAAAAATTCCCACTTGATGTAGAATTAATTTAAGACTTAGCTTCAACAGGACAAAATTCCTAAACAAACGAATCAAGTTGTAACTTAAAAAAATTACAACCCAACTCAAGATAGACCTCTTAGAATATAATGACTTTAACCAGAAAACCCAATTTAAGCAAACAGAAACTTTTCTGAGTGTATAAATCCAATAAAAATTAAATTAATCAATTTGCTTCCACCACCATAAAGTTTCTAAACAAAAGCACTGAAAATCTCAGAAAAGGCGTCTGATCCAGTCAAAGAGTTGAATTTTCAGAATATAAAGACTAACGAATTATAATAAGTTCAAGCTGATGAGACCAATTAGACTCCAATAACATCTTCCATGATTAAAAAAAAAAAAAACACAAAACACAAAACAAAACCAAAAAACAAAAAACAAAAAAAAAAACAAATAAACTCCACCACCAAACATTACAATAATACGTCCAGATTAGCAATAGCATCAAAGTGGTTATTCTTGAATTTTGAAGGACATCATAAACACTGTATCAGAAAGAAAAAAGGGCAGTGTAACTTACAAGCCACTTATCACGAGCATAGAGGACTGTATTTAACATATTCTCAAACAATAAAAAATATCCCATCCACTCTGAAATAATGATATCCACTTGAGCAACTGGAAGCTCAATTTCCTCAATTTTTCCCTTCAAAACTGTGATAACTGTAGTAATTAAAAAGAGAAAACAGAAAAAGGCCAAATCAGTTAAGTAGAAGCAAAAACTGAAAGAAATTATGAAATTCGTTGTTCCTAGCGACATCACCATCTGAAAAGCCGTTTACTTTAACAATCTCTTGTGCCATGTCAGCCATTTGGGAGCACTCAACCTGAATTGGAAAGGTTTCTATGATCAACATCTATGATAAATCACCAAACTCTATTTCTAAATTTTGTAGATCAAACAATAATAAATTAATGAACAGCTTAAAGAGAAAATTTACATGCATATTCAAATCATAACACCGATGTTGAAAATGAGGAAAATTTATATAATTGAAAATTGAAATTTAGAAAATCAATGATGTAACAGAAGGGCTAATCACCAATAAAAAAAGTGATGAAAAACAAGCTACAAAATATAGATCATAATCCTATCAAAAGCATCAATGAACTCCGAAAGTAACACTTTATGAAGCACCGACACATCAAATGGGTGTCGTGTCCATGTCAAACACCCATGGGACACCGACACTTGAGGGACACATGTGTCCACGTGTCGGACACACCACATAAAGGATCAATTTTTTAATCATTATCTTTTCTTAGGACACTTCGAGAACACTTCACAAACCCGTGTGTCTTGTCTGTGTTTGGACACGCCTCAAGACACTTCAGTGAGATTAAGTTTAGAAAAATGGTTTGGAGTCAAAGAAAAATATATGAAAACAAAGAATACGGAAAGTGAAAAAGATAAAAATACAACCACATATATTTTGGTGACTCATATTAGGGGTGTGGATGGATCCGCTTAACCCAACCCACCCGCTCGACCCGACCGGACCGAGGCAGATACGAACGGTTTTGAAAAGGCTTACGGTCAGGCTATGATTTGCAAAATATGAGATGGTCGGTTCTTGGTTCGGAAAACAGTTTTGCACTTATTAGACCCATTGAAACCGACCCAACCCACTACTCTCGGATTATTTCAGATATTATAATTCTGTTTGACTTTATTTATTTTCTTTGAGAGACTCCACAGTCCACTCATGTTCCCAATTACATTCATATTTTCAATTATTCAATCAGTTTCATATAGGAGATTGACAGATGGTCTCACAGTTCCACTCACTCTCTTTTTTTGTCTCTCTCTCTACTGTCCCACTCAATCTCTCTCTCTCTCCCTCTCCATCTTCCCCCACTCATTCTCTCTCTTACCTATTATCTCTACATCTTTCCCATTTTCTCTCTCTCATCTCTGCATAAAGAAACGTTTTTCTCTTCTCATTCTCTCCTCTTATCTTCTCAGAGATCAAATAACAAACCCTTTATCTCCTTTGTTCGATCTTCCTCTTCAATTGTAGTGGACAATAGAGGAGTTGTTATGGAAGTACACTGGCGTCGATCCATGATGACGATGACGATGACGATGAGCGGCTATAGTGATGAGCAATAGTGATAGCAATGAACGGAGACGATGGCGTTGAGCGACAATGGTGGTGATGAGTTGTTTTGTTCATGTTTTCTCTATTTTTTCCCTTCACTCTATTTTCTCCCACAAATTTGTGATTTGATTTTGTTAAACTCAACATGTATTGTATGATTATGAGTTTGAGATTTGTTTTTTAAACTTCTAATCTTTTTTCCCCATTTTTCTTGTTACTCGTCGAAATCGACCAAACCAACCAAGAAACTAAGGGTTCATTTGGTTTGTATTTCTGAAAAAATTTTGGGAAATTTTCTCTACAAATAAGTTTTTAAAAGTAATCAAACCAAACAAATTTTCCCAAAAAAATTTCTCAAAACTTGTAAACCAAACAAGTTTTCCAAACAAATCTCTCTCACACATCAAATCAATCACTTTTTCCAAAACTCTCTCTCAAAATAATTTTCCAAAACATCTTTTGAAAAAAACCAAACCAAACAACTTTTCGTACTTTTTATCTCTAAAACACATCTCTCAAACACAAACCAAACATACCCTAAATAGTTTTGGTTGGTCGATTTCGAAGAAGAGGTCGGTCGGAAATGGACGAATGAATTTGAAAACTGATTGTGTCGGTTCGGTGGATGGTTTGGGAGTGAACCCGAGCCGAACCGACCCGTGCACACCCCTAACTCGTATATCTCGTGTCTTAAATTTATATTCACATACATAGCAAATAAAACTATATAAATATTTTTCCGTATCCCGAACCAAGTCTGAATCATAAATTTTTTAAAATCACCATGCCCAGTGTCAGTGTCAGTGTTAATGACCGTGTCCTTATCCGTGTATATGCTTCCGAGGTGACTTCCAATAATTGAAGCCAACTAAATATGTATACAACAAATTTCAATACAGCTTCAAGTGGGGTGGTGAATAGACACACGTAAGAAATTGACCAAATCAACATAATTAAAAAAACAAATTTCAAACATTTATGTAGTAATAAGAAACTAATCAACTGTAGTAATTCCCAAACTTTTACAAGTAGTAGAATGAAACTACCAAATATAGCTTGTTATCATTTCAGAAAATGAATTCAGGAAGTAAAACAAAACAATTAAAGCTATATTAGAAGTCATATGGTGTACACTGTACACAACCATGAGCTCTTTCTATGACAAAATGCTCCATATTGATTTATTTCCTACTTCTCCATCTGTTGTCTTAATAAATGAAGACAACAAAGTAGATGACAAATAGAACACAAATCAAAACATCTTGAATTATGTTTTTGTTTTGCCAAGACAAATAGAATACAAACATCTCAGAAAGCCATTTAAATCTACCAGATAATAATGAATGGCATAAAATTTTGCAGCTATGCCACAACCAGCCCAACACCCACAACCAGACTAATGCAAAGGCAAAATTACAGATCAACTAGCCTTAAATGACTTTCTGAGAACCAATAAGAGTAAATATCTTAAATGGTCATGAAATTTCTTCATAAAAACAAAACTAAAAAGAAATTGAAAAGGAGAGCAAGAGAGTAAAATTGTATACAAAAGAAAGAAATAAAGGCATACCGCATAAACATGTTTTGCCCCTGCTTTTGCACAAAAGAGTGACAAAATTCCAGTCCCAGCACCCACATCAAGGACTATTTTGTCCTTGAACAAAAAATTATTTTTATAAATAACATTTTGGTATGTCTTAGTTCTCACTGCATCCTTCAACATTTCCTGCAATGCTAAAAAATCAGTAAGAGTCAAACATTGAATCTTGAACAAAACAATATAAATCATAAGTAGAAGCTAAATATATGCCAAACCTAGATTCATAGTCACGAGAAAAAATAATTACCACTAATAAAGTGATCAAAGGTGACAAAAAGATATTCAAAAACACAAAAGTAAAGGAGGGGGAGCAAGCAAGCGATAGATGGTGTGAGCTTTACAATTCTAGCAATGATTGCAGTTGTATCAATCCTAGCCACCAAAATATGCAGTTATGCCAGTGTGAAGTCCACAAACAGTACCCACATTATTCCTGGAAACCCCATTCGAGATATAATTCAGACAAATATAACTACCACTTTTAAGGCATCATCATCAGTACATAAAATCATTATGAAAAAAGACATAAAAAATATCTAACAGAACTAAATCACAATCATAATAAGAAAAAAATACATAGAACTACCATAAAAAATAATAAACAAATATCACAGTACAATAACTCCTCAACACTGGACGAACTGAAATATTGACATGAGCAGTTACAACAACCAAACATTGAACAGCTTTTCATCCAAACACAGCAAACTTACTTCATGAATACCTGCAAACACAGAACCACACAAAAGGGAAAATTTCAGTTTTGCAAAAAAACAAGAGTAAATAAGCACGAAAAAAATAAAAAATAAAATTTGTTCCTGAAGAATAATTGTTTACTCTTCGATAAATCATCCAAAACTCTAACCAACTAGGGCTAGCCTAGTTGGCCCGAACCCCTAACACCTCGCCAGGAGTAGTCAAGTCAAGGGTTTGACTCCCCCTTCCTAGATTACGGCATCCCATATGCCATATAATAATGATCTAAATATTGATACTCTCATGGTTTGAGGGGAAAATGCGGTCATGTTTGGTTTGAGTTTCTAAGTAGTTTGACGAAAATAAAAATCAAAAAGATATTTTTTTAAATTATTTCTATTTCTACCCTCTCAAAAGATAAAACTATATAAAAATGACATTTTTTTTTTTTTTACCAAATTAATTTTTAGGTTTTTAAAAATTACAGATTGTGAAAACCAAAACCAAACCAAACCAAACCAAACATAATTTAGGGAACTCTATTTCATATAGACAAAGTTATGAAAAACAAAAAATAAAATAAAAACTTCTCAACTTTGCATAGCCCATTGAATAAAGATAGGGGTAGATAGATACACTAGTTCATTACTAGAATTACATACCCAGAAAATGAAGTGTCTTGCTCTAACTTTCAACAATCATCAAATTCAAATTTTTAAAGGGAATCAATTTGAGAACAATAAGCAGTGAAGAAAAGGAAATTATACCAAAGTGAGAGTAGGAATCGAAGTAATAGTCGGCGCTGGTCTTGTCGGCGCCAATGACGGACTCGTCTGGATCGCACATCAACGCGTCGTCCTCGAGATTGGAAGTCTCGGTGATTGCTTCGTCGAGAGTCTCGTCTTGGTCTACTTCGTCGTCATCGTACTCGAACCTGGTCTTCCTCGGCCTCTGTATATTGATGTTTCCTTTGTTGATCATTTCATCGCCATTGCTGTCTTGGATATCCATTGCTGGGCGCTGTACAATGCAGAGACGAGAGTAGGGTTTTAGGAATGATGCAGTCTCTGGAATTAGGGTTTTTGTAGAGCCCTTCCTTGCCCTTTATGTTCTCTGCTACTTTTTTATTTGTAGGCTAAATTACACTCTCACCCCTAAAGTACATGTTTCTTGCTTTGATTCTCTATGGAAAAACAACTCTTTTCACTTCCATGAATTGTATACCACCAACCAACTACTATTAGGGCTAAGGGACAATTTTGGTATTTTAAGGTGTCCCATGTAACCTTAAATATAAATCCAAATCCTAACTCTAACCTAATCCAAACCAAAATATTCTTAACTCATCTATTCATATTTTTTATTTTCTTTCTTCTATGTCACAATTAGGGTTGTATACGGTCCGGATTGGTTCGGTTCTGAGAAAATTCAAGAACCGAACCAATCCTAATGGTTCTGTGATTTTGAGAACCAGACCAGACCGTTACACTGGTAAAACCGAACCAGAACCAAACCGAAAAAACAGTTCGGTTTCGGTTTGGTTTACGGTTCTAAAAATTTCTATTTACAAGAATAATTTATTAATATTAGCAAAATAATTATTTAAACTAATTACATTTAACTCATGATAAAAACTAATAATATTAAGGCATTACTTAATATTACATACATATACCATCCTAATATCATTAAAATTATAAAAAATCAATTAATAAAAATAAAACTTGATATTATATTTATTTTTTTTAATTTGGTTCGGTTTGGTTCGAACCACGATTTTTTCATAAAATCCATTAACTGAACCGTTTTTACGGTTCTCATATTTCTTAATCCGTAACCGAACTAATTCTTAATAGAACCGAACCAAACCGTATAATTCGGTCTGGTTCGATCCGGATTACCGATTTGAACGGATTTTTGAACATCCCTAATCACAATCCATCTATCATATCACTATTTATGTATTACCTCTCAATCTACTTTTTTTTTTCGTAATTCTACTATTATTTTCTTTCCATTTTTTTTTCTTTTCCTTTTTTTTTGCCATCTATCAATCTGTAACTTTGGCTTATGGTATATGGTAGTAGTGTTGAGCATATTTAAGACGGAATTACAGTGATTATAGTAGGTTATTGTAGGAGCAAGGATCCTCTAGAGTGATTTTTTCCTAAAGTTTCCTAGAGTGTTACATTGTGTGGTTGAGATTTACTGGCAAGTCATATCAACCACACAATGTAGCACTCTAGGAAACTTTAGAAAAATTTCACTTTAGAGGATCCTTGGTGTTATTGTAGATATAGGGTTTGTGGTTTACGGCTGTTGATCATGGTCGAATGGTATTAATGATGATTTTGGTGGTATTAGTTCAATAGCATTGATGTTTGTAAAGGTTGTATTGATGGCGTGTGCAATGGTGTTGATGACATTGTAGAGGTAGTTGCAAGGCCAATGATAGTAAGGCCATGTTTGTTTGGGTGGATATGAGCTTGGTATTGGATTAATAGTCTAATAAAATTATTAATCTCATGTTTGGTTAAACAATTGAAGTACGGACTAATTATTTTAAACTTGACTATTAGTTAAGATAGGATACACAATCCAACGGATTCATAGTCATAAGACTATTAGTCATGAGAATACTAATTCAGTCCACCCAAACAAATATGACCTAAAGTAATAGTATTAATTACGTTAGAGGAGAGAGTATCAATGGTAATGTTGGTGTAAAGGCACTCACGGTAAATAGACTCAACAATGATAGAATTTTAAAAATCAATAACATGAAAATGGGAGAAATTATATTTCTACACACCTAATTAACTTATGGTACAAATTTAATGGAATATTAATTTAATGACAATTATATCCTAAATGAAAATGATCATAATAGACATCTAGTAACACCCATAATATTATATGAAAAAATTCTCTATACATATCTTTTAAGAACAAAAAAAAATCTCAATGTACACTTTTTCAATTAAAAAAAAAATTAAACCCTAATTTTTCCATTATTTTCACTTTACTTGTTACACACTCTATACTCCTCTATTACTTACAAAGCAATACTCTCAAAACATCGCTTTTTGATTTCATTCGGAACTTCAGTGCCTGTTCACAAGTGGAAAAACTGATTTCCAGTGTCTGACTTTCAATGTACAAGTGGAAACATCTCGCTTATGAGCATGAAATGACAAGTGGGAAAAAAAAAAAAACCATTCGAAACCGAAGAAACACATAATTTTCGGAATTCAAATGTCAAAAATATTGAAACATAAATGTAATAATAAAATGGAAAGTTGCCTTACCTTCTACACTATTTTGGAGGGCTTTCAATAGAGGTTCAATGGAGGAAGCATCACTTGAGACTTTGGTCTTTCTTCAAGGGCATAGGTGGGTTTACAAATGCGGAAGTAGAGTCAATCAAAAGTGTATGAAAAAGAGAGTTAAGTGGTGTGTGGACAATGATTATGAGTAAAGATGTAATTGTAATTTTAAGTATGTGGATTGAGAAAATTAATTAATAATCAAATTAATCGTTTGGTAACCATTCCGTTTTCAATTTTTAGTTTATATTTACAAAAATTTTAAAAACTGTCATAAAAATTTGTTTGATAATTTTTTTTTGTTTATAAATGGTTGTCTCAATTTATAAATTTGAGGAAAAAACGTAAACTCAAAAAATGAGTTTACGTTTTCAGTTTTCAAATTTTTTTTTTCTTTTCAATTAATCTTTTTTTCAATTAATTTTTTTTCAAATATTTTTTTCCCAATTATTTTTAAAATTATTATTTTTTTAATTATTTTTTTCAAAAAAAAAATTTCCCAATTAATTTTTTTCCAAATTAATTTTTTTTTTCAATTATTTTTTAAATTAAATTTTTTTCAATTATAATCTGTGTGATTCCATTGTCATAAATAATAAAAATAAATATAAATATGTTAGGCCTGAACAAACATATTTTTTAGTTTATATTTTTAAAATTTTTTAAACATTTTGTTCAAACCAAACACGTTTATAATTTATGTTTTTCTAAAAATAAACAAAAACTAATTTATAAATTTTTTGTAAACATAAACAAAAAATGTAAACGTTACCAAACGTTACCTAAATGTGTATATTAAAAAAAGATGTGCACTAAGATAATTAAGTGTGGAAATATAATTTTCCAAAGAGGGTGGTAGTAGTAATGTTGTTGTAAAGGCCACGTGTGTGGCATGTGACATGATAACCAAAAAATATTTTTAAAATTAAATATATAAAAGCATGCTTTCTAGTGCGAAGAAAGAAATCAACCAAATTGTATATGTCTCACAATTTGTAACATTAAACACAACTTTGAAAGGTAATAATACCTCCTTTCCGAAGTACCAAAAAAAAAGAAAAGAAAATACAACAAAGAGGAAATTAGTGAACTTGAGTAGAAAGTATTATCTTTAAAAATATCGTGATATCGTGGACACGGTAAAAAATATTATTTTTATTTTTGTTTTTGTTTTTGAATTTTTTGTCTGTCTGTTTGTTTGTTTGTTGTGAGAGTTAAATTTTGAGTTGTTTTTTTCAACTATTAATTTAGGTTTTTTTTTTTATTATTGTTCATTTTGGTGGAATTTATCATTGGTTTTTCTTTTCCCCAATCCACTTTAGTTTTGTTTCATTCCATTAGCAAATGCAATTTCTCTCTTCTATATCTTTGCGCCAGCTGTTTCTCGTTCTCTGTTTATTTTTATTATTATTATAAAAAAAAAAAATTTGTATGTAAGGCACAGCCAATCAATAAATTTCTAAACACAATGGAGAAAATGTAACTAATTATTTGTTTTGGTATAATGGGACTAAGGCCTACTTATAAATGGATAAAAAAAATCCATTTATATATGATAAAAAAATTAATGAATGTTAAAAAATTTAAAATGACAAAAATAAACTTATAGTGAAGCAATATATTACTTCAAGAATAATATGACTGCCTACAACTACAACCAATCCAACGATGAAAATTTGAGTTTTTACGTTCAAAAGTTCTTTCTTTTTTTTTCTCGTTATTTTCATTCAGCAAATTAGTACTCAATATGCTCATCATATTCGGAAATCAATAGCCAAAATAATTTTATTTGTTCGAAAATTAACTTCTGAAAACTATAACTTAATTCGGTTTTCAAAAATTGAAAAATATTTTTAAATAGTTTGGTTTTAACTACCTTTGAATTTATTTTGCCCTGAAATTTCGTTTTTTTAAAATTTTCTTTTTTTTATTATTTTATTTTTTGGTCTTTTCCATAAAGCATCTACTCGAAAAAGTGAGGTTTCAATAGCATATGGTCAGACCCGGCCTTGAGATTTTTGGGGTGCAAAATCGATAATCAATTAACTAATTTTTGAGGCCCTTCACATTTTTTTTTTCATTGAATAAAAAAAAATTGGAAGGTAAAGGACAAAATGTTGTGTCAAAATCACAAAAAATATTTAGCGTTACATTACAACAGCTAATAAATATCACTTGATCCTTGCTCTTCTTGTATTTTTAGAAGCAAATAAATCATACTTACATAATCTAGTTTTTTGCAAAATCATTTTCAACGGATTACAATGCTAATCCATTCAATCTTTTTTGTGACATGGTTTATCGAATGTATTTTTTTTTTTTATCATTTTCAACTTTGAAAAGCTTCTTTGCCCCAATGCAACTATAATCGAAATAGCCAAAAGTATCCTATGAGCAACCCATGAATTTGGGAAACAATTTGCCATCAACAGCAGATGATTGAGCACTTTAATCGGTTTATTGACTTATTTTGGCAATCTCTCTTTCAAGACTTTTAGCTCCATCAATAAATCTCTTCCATCAATATCGGAAATCTCACCATGTTTTAAAAATTCTTTAAGGTTCACACAGCCCACCTTCAACGATTCATCGCTACACTTTTTCAAGTCAAACAAAAAGCCAAAGTTTGCCTCATATACTTTGAATTGTTTGAACCTGTTTTTGAGTGAACAAAGGGCTTGATCAACAAAATATAAGAAGTAACCAACTCTAAATGATTCTTCAGCCGACTGGGTCACCTCTGTGCTAACATTCTCATCAAATTATTTTTTTCTGGAAATGATGCGC